CTCTCTCTCTCTCTCTCTCTCTCTCTCTCTCTCTCTCTCTCTCTCTCTCTCTCTCTCTCTCTCTATTTCAAATTGACTGATTGAATTCCGAAGGATATTCTCTATCCAGTTCTATATAGTTTTCAGATCAGTGCATCATATACAGAAACCCATATAAGGACGTCAAGCTGTTTTCCTTTCTCTGGTATACGTGTCAGCTATAGTGTACTGAGGTAGCAAGGAATGTAAATTTTGGGCTTCTCTGTCTGTTACAACCATATGTGGTGTTTTGATTTGTGTATTTGCGCAAGTTTTTACATAATTACATTTCCAAACTTCAGAAAATAAAATCCAGAAAAATTCTAGAATCGGGAATTTTCGTTTATGAAAGAATCAGTTGCGAAGTGCCGTTTGACGTTTTTCTTAACGCAAGATTACGGTAAACTATAACCATGCAGCTTCCGAAACAGCCTTAGACGAAAGGCGCTCGTTCCAAACGTCGAAGCCGAAGGTTGTTCCACTGTTCGGGTAGTTGCGTCATACATGCACAGAAACCCATCGGATAAAAACCTTCTTGTTTTTTATTGAGGAAAGTTAATTTGTTGAGGACGTCAAACTGTTTTCCATTCTTTATATTTGTATACCAATTAACTGAACGAAATATTCGAGGAACCAAGAACAACATGGTTTCTTTTGAGTGTTTGAGAATATTCTGTCTATCAGAAATACAACGCTTGGAGCAAAAGCATTTTGTCACTACGTCAGGCATTTGATTTATTATAATGTCAAGGCTATAACGAATAACGAAAGAAAAGTTCTGTTTTTAAGATTTTTCACGACGACAATCGAACAACTGCCTACGCGCCTTTGTTTCCAAAGAACACTTCAATGATTTTGTACGAAAACAACTTCATAAATTAAAATGGTGATAAAAATTGGTTGAGCTACTCGCCTTATATGAGCTTATATATAGCGAGTAGCGAAAAACTTCAAAAACAAAATGGTGACACATATAAACTACAAGAGTTTTGTGAAGCCGAGGAGAGAGAATATATAGTGTCAGTGAAAACTTAAAAGTTATAATATATAATGGTTAATGCTTACAGACAGTTCTGTATATAATACAAACTATAGCGCGTAGTTCATTGCATAATGGCTCTGACCCTGACTAAGTGTAAGAAGTTTAAAGCTATAATATTTACACTTACTGTACTGTATATATTGTACATATACTGCATGTATATTGGTTCATTCCTACGAAGTATTATAACATTTTTAAATGTATATATAATCAGTGTCTGCGTTGAAAACACTTTAGCTCACTATATAGAGTATATATAGTCTGAGGCAGTATCTTGATCATGGCTTTAAGAGACATCATGAAACTTATATCAAGACTTGCTACAATATCTCTTCTAGTTCATGTATATAGTAACCCAAATAGCGTAATTGTTAGCACAATAAAGACATCACAGTATATTACAAGATCGCGTACTGTTGTCTTTATCCACCAAAATTATGCTGTTCATTTCATAATCAAAATCGCCGAGCAATTCTTTCACTTCAAAATTTCTCTGTTTGACCCCAGACAAACCTGCAGTCATCCACTCTTCGACTATCTTTCTAACGCAATGCTTTGACAATTCGTTCATCCATCTATGATCATCATGGAATACACTGCCCTGTGGGTTGTTAAAGACGCCTGAATTAAATTTAATCTCTCCGTTTTGTATTGCAAAACCTTCGCCAACGACGCTCTTCGTCTTTGGTTCACCGAAGGCATTTCTATAGACAGCTCCGTGAACTTGACCAAACTCTTCACTCTTCAATTTCTCAACATTTTCTGAATCTGTGTCTTGAATGACGATATAGCCAGACTTACAGTGAGTATTGTTGGCGGTTCTCCAGTCCGACTTGCCGTTGTATTGGTAAATAATTACTCCAGCATAGTTGTGAGCTTCTTGATACCTGTCAGATTTGCACGAGATATGCATGGTTTTGACATGCATATCTCGTTTAATCCATGACTTAGGCTTTAACGTAATTTTGTCCTTCGCTGACGATGCAACCAAGTTACCACCACCAAAGAAGCTGCATGACATGTTTGTTTGGACTACACTGAGATCTGTAACGGAGTCGAGTCATACAAATTCACTAACCGGTAGGTCAAATACGAAAGACTTTTGGTTTTCTGTGCATGATACCTCACGTTTGTATTCATTATATTTTGGTGATAGTCATTGCTTGCATGCAGACCACGCAATATAGATATATAACTGCATGTAGGTAGCGCAAACTTTAAAAGCGATCATCACCGAATATAAGATTAATATCATTCTTTCATCAAATCAGATATAATAATTTTACAAAAGGAAAACCTTGCACTAGCTTATAGGTTTGATGGTTGGAAACTTGAAGACATTCAACCATTAATCCCTGGAAAATGTGTTATAACAATTCCATTTTTCGCATTATTATATGGACCGTGTATTTCTAGTAAATTATAAGGGTTTGCGGTCCGTTGAATATGTTGTTGTTAATCTTATTAGACTTGTTATACTCTGCAGTAAATTAAGCCAGACAGTTTAATACGAATACACGCCTGTAAGTCTCACTCTTCTTTGCTCAATGTGCATCAGATAAGCGAGTGTAAGATGAGGTGCCAATAGGCAATACAATTCCTGCGCCTCGGTGTATTATGCAACTACATGAAAATAGAACAAGCTTCCATGTTTCGAGCGAAGTTAATGGTAACATCGACGTTTATTCCATTTCTTAGGTAATTGCATAATACACAGAAACCCATAAGATAAAAACGTTAATAGTTTACCTGGATTTGGAGCTTTGACTACACGTAGTTTACCAGTCTCTGCGTCAAATTCCATTTTTTCTGGTCTAGGATTATGGAATTCGCTCAAACGACCTTTTATGTCTGAATCCATTTTGGCGATATACCAAAAGCTTGCATGCAGACTTTAAAATGACCTGTCTCTTTCTCGACAACCGGTTTCGTATTACATTTCGATACAATTTTTCTAATATAAATATCTTGGCGAGTATTTACCCCCCTTTTAAATAAATGCCACCATTGAAATCCTCATAAAATAACCTTTCGAACGAGGGGTCAAGTGCCGTCAAAACATTACACAAAGCGAAACAATCATATATTTACTCACCGCTTGGCCAAAGATTCTAAATTTCATATCCACAAGATCTTGAATACCCCTTGAACTTTTCGTCATTTGCTGAACGGCTATACGTGTAAAATACTCTCTGTATTCAAGCACTTTCGTGTAGAAAGTTTCGTATGTATACGCCGACTAGAAATATTTATTTTGAATTTTTCAAGTGTCGGGTTTTACTCGCACTTGCGTACATTGCGCAATAATTGGCCAATAAGAAGCTCCTTTGGCCGGGATGACGTCAAACTCACGCGTGTAGGTGCAATTTGATCTTGCGAATCCATTTCTGGCCTTTCCAGGGTCATACGATACAAACGCCGCATTGTTTTGACGGTTTTGAGTCGTATTTCCGGTTGGGATTAATTCACTTCGAGCTCACAGTCGGACAAGAAATGGAAATATATTGATAAAAGATACAGATTTGTAGATTCAGGGTTGCAAATAACACTCCAAAAACACTATTTAATGGGGATTCGAACAAGACAATTACAAAGACGATATGTTCGATGGGGCCGAAGTTATTTTCGGCAAAAGGTATGGCTAGTCTATAATAATCTGTATTTTTGTTCAGACAATTGCGTAATTTGATACAATATGATCGTTTTGACTTTCAAAGGCCCATAAATCGTTACAATACTAATAATGACTATAACTATCGTTTGGAACTAGTTGATATTTTATTTCTGAATCGAATGGTGGTATTTCTGTCTTCATAGCATGCACTGAACCGAAAGTATGAAATTTCGAGCCTGTCGACCGCTCGCGGTCGACGAAATTGGACCCTGTTGAGAAAGAGTTAAAAGAATCTTGAATGATCATGTGAATTTTGGAACGAATCCTGATATTAAATTGATCAATCATGCAATAATTATGCAAAGTAGTGTTTATACTGAATAAGTTACAACGCAGGGTGTCTGAAAGCCACCCTTGAATAATTTTATCTATTTCACTGCGACTCCGAATAATACGTTCTGTGTCGGCATAAAATTGCGATTGAATTATCCATTGCGTTTTAATCCATTGATATTTGACTGATCAAAATATTACCTATACCGCGGATCCTTCCTCTCGCGCGAAAAACGTGTCATGTTAACGTCGTGAAATCGATCATTTGCAAGTGGCGACACTGATTGGTCTGCGGGAGATTGCTCTGATATATATATATATATATATATGCTGTTGGGGCGACCAGTGGAATACATGATAGTTTTGGAGTTGAAGCTGGTCTAAAATTCTTCTTAAAATACTAGAATATGTACAATAAAAAGTCTAAAAAGTTCTAAATTTTCGGTTGCTAACTGCAACCTTCATCAGAGTACTAAGAGCAGTTCGGATAGTTCAAGGTTTTTAAATATCGTCATTATTGCCACATGATTGCACAAGCGATAAATACATGCGTGGGAATTCTTTGTGTTCGTTAATTGTTTTATTGTCTAATATTGAATGCATCGACTCGAGGAACGTTCGTTTTCGAACTAGCGTCGGTTGAACAAGGTATCAAGGATCTTACAGAAGAAGCAAAAAACGACATACGAGCTGGCGTCTTCTCAATTTTGAAACATGCTAAACCCCTCTCAACACAGAATTTAACTCGGGGCGAAAGGAAAGCAGTTAAAGACTTGAAGTCAGAGGACACGATTATCATAACAAAAGCTGACAAAGGAAATGCTGTGGTTATAATGGATAAGGCAAAATATACTGAACAAGTAAACGAGATGCTTGGAGATCAAACAGTTTATACACGCATCACCGATAAGAGAAGAAATCCCACCAAACGGACGGAAACTGACTTAGAGAATATACTGAAAGAGCTTCGACGCTCGGGAAACATAACTGATAGAGAATATTGGCAGCTACGAGCTTTTGATTCTTCCCCTGCTACATTTTATGGTTTGCCAAAAGTCCATAAAGTGTCTCTCATCTGCAACCAAGACCACTATACCCTGGGCGAAAGTTCTGTGGACGTCATTCCTTTACGTCCAATTAACAGCAACATTGGTTCACCTACATATTCCCTATCAAAATACCTTGCAAAATTGTTAAAGACCTTTTGCGCAAAAAACGAGTTTTCTATAAGTAATGGGAAAGAATTCGCTGATTTTGCCAAAAGTCAAACGTTAGGGACGGATGAAACGATCGTCTCTTTTGATGTTGTGTCCTTATTCACATCCATACCTGTTCCGTTTGCCTTGCATATTGTACAAAAGAAACTTAAAGAAACTGATTCATGGAAGTCACATACAGCACTGAAAGAAGAACAAGTTGTGAAACTATTAAAATTCCTACTTAACAATTGTTACTTTAAATTCAATGAGACACACTATCATCAGAAGTCAGGATGCGCCATGGGATCACCTGTTAGTGCAGTCATAGCTGAGATAGTAATGCAAGAGATAGAGTCAATTGCCATCAACACGTCACCTGTCCCAGTACGCTGGTGGCGAAGGTATGTTGACGACTCCAATTCATGTCTACGCAAAAGTGACATTGAACAATTCCACACCCACCTGAACACTATCAACAAAAACATTCAGTTTACAATGGAATTGCCATCAGAATCAAACCACGGTGAAGCAATTTCTTTCCTTGATACCCACATTACCATTCTTAAAAACCGTACCATTGAAGTAAGTGTATACCGTAAGGATACACATACCAATAAATATCTATCCTTTCACTCTCATATTCCCACCCAAAGTAAGCGAGCCGTAGTTAAGACCTTACTTGATCGAGCCGACAGCATTCCTTCTACTGACAATAAAAAACAGCAAGAAAAGGGGTGTGTTGTCCAAGAATTAAAGCTCAACGGATATCCAGAGAAATTCATCTTCCAGACAAGTTCCAGCAGGTCGTTTTCCAACACTAATGACGAACCGGAAATTAAAGGGTTATCTTGTATTCCATACATGAAAGGCATATCAGAACAGATAAAACAGCTGCT